AGGTGCTTCGGCCGGTTCGGTGGGGAGGTGGTGGGTAGGTGCTTCGGCCGGCTCGTTGGGGAGGTGGTGGGTAGGTGCTTCAGCTGGCTTGGTGGGGAGGTCGTGGGTAGGTGCTTTGACCGGCTCGGTGGGGAGGTGGTGGGTAGGTGCTTCAGCCGGCTTGTTGGGGAGGTGCTTCGGTCGGCTCGGCGGGGAGGTGGTGGGGAGGTGCTTCGGTCTGCTCGGTGGAGAGCTTCGACCGGCTCGGTGGGGAGGTGGTGGGAGGTGTTTCGACCGACTCGGTGGGGAGGTGGTGGGTAGGTGCTTTGGCCGGTTCGGTGGGGAGGTGGTAGGTAGGTGCTTCGGCCGGCTCGGTGGGGAGGTGGTGGGTAGGTGCCTCGGTCGGGTCGGTGGGGAGGTGCTTCAGAAGGCTCGGTGGGGAGGTGGTGGGTAGGTGCTTCAGCCGGCTCGGTGGGGAAGTGGTCGGTAGGTGCTTTGGCCGGCTCGGTGGGGAGGTGGTGGGTAGGTGCTTCGGCCAGCTCGGTGGGGAGGTGGTGGGTAGGTGCTTCGGCCGGCTGGGTGGGGAGGTGGTGGGTAGGTGCTTCTGCGAGGCCACTGCCTCTAAGAGCCCCATAAGGGCCCATTTTTGCAGCCCGTCGGTCACCCTAAGTGAAGGCAGGCTCAACTAGGCCCTCAGGGCCCTTTTCTAGGCCGCTTGTGTGAATGTACGTGAAGCAGGCCCTGGGCTGGATACGGGTACTGGGCCAAACACAGGCCGAAAGAAGTTGGGCACATGCAACCACTTCAGGCCCAAGGCCTGCTCCTCTCGTGCTGGGTCTCTGGCTACCGGGGCCTATCGGAAGCTTCCTGGACTGGACGCAGGCAGGCCACTTCGATACAGGGAAGGGCCTGCCTCCTCATTCGGCATTCGGGTGCTGGCTGCATGCTGCGCAAGCGCTGCTGCGCTATTTGCTGGCTGGCGCCTACGCTCTCACGGGCGAGCAGGGAAGGAGCACGCAGACATAGCCGAGCTGTGCTGTTGTATGCTGGGTGAAGCGCAGGGTGGTCCTTGGGTGCTAGTGGCATCTGTGAGTTGGGGAACGAGGTTGTGAGTGTAGCGCGAGACATATTTGGTGCTGGAAGCGTGCGACATTGGTCGCCATATGCTCGTACTTCGGGAATGTTGTTGATGTCATCTTTCGGCTTCGTAGTATAGGCTAGATAGGATCTACCACATGTAGTCTAGGCGCCGAGCGCCAGATAGGATATCAACTATGGTTCTTCGTTGATGATGATGGGACTATTTCAGTGTCAATTATGAACTCTTGGTGTGTTCTTATTTGGTGATTCTCGTGATGAAATGCTGCTGTTGGTTCGAGGTCAAGACTATCTGGACTCATATCTATGATGCTGTTTGATTGTTGAAGTTCGCTATTGCTCATCTTCCTTGCAATTTGGTATCGGAGATGTGGTACGATTGCGCTCATCTGGCGCTTGTCTTCTTCCTTACGCGGTACACACATGTGGTTTGCTGGGCGAGTTTGGCCGTAAGTGGTGTGTAGTGAGGAGGGTGGAGACGAGTGTTTAGGCGACCCAGGAGGTGAGGGGAATTGCCAGGAAGGCTATGTGAGGTGAATGTGGTCTGGACAGTGTGATGAGAACTATCTAATGTGTGATTGATGCTAAGGTGGAACGGCGAGATAATGCTGGTTGTGCCAATGCAGTGACTGGTCATCGCAATCGCCATTTGGTCATCTGGTGAGATTATCTTTGTGGTTGGGGGCAGCTAAATGAGGTATGTTGCTCTTGACCTTGTCTTCCCTCGCCGACACTTCTTACCGTGAGGTTGTGTGTTCCTTCTTGAGAGTCCTCTCATCGTGAGGTGTCGATTGCGCTCAACCTTGAGAGTTGGCAATGTTCACGTGGAGCATCTGGGTGGAGATGGGCGAAGCTTTTTGAAGGGCCCTGGACGAAGCAGTGGGTCACGGTCACCATGCCAACCCACAGGGAGTAGAGAACGCATGCCTAAGCTGCTTGTCCTTTGTTCGGCTTGCTGCGCTGTTGGATGTGTACTACTGGGCAGGCCAGCCCTACAGGAAAGACGAGCACCCGACGTTTATAAATAAACACGGGAAGGGGAACCATTGACTGTGATCGTTGTCCGGCTGCGACGTAAAATAATTCCTGGAGTCACTTGGGGGCGGATGTTAAATTGCCCCTGGATCAGTCAATGGTTGGAAGGCTCGCGGCACGCCGAGGATAAATATACGTGCAAGGCTGGCCGGCTCAGTGGGTACTCGGGGCACAGGGGTGGGCCGGACACACACACCTTTAGACACGCCAAGCTCTCCAGATCGCTCAGGGACGCTGACGTCAAGAGATACGCAGGGGAACTAAGGGAGGGGTTGATTCCAGGTGACAAGTTCGAGAAAATTCCATGCTGTCCTATACACACAAATGATTTTGTTTTTATGTTTTGATTAGTTAGATGGACTGCCATTGACATCTGACAGACAGCATCAGTTAGAACTGTTGATTGTTCCTGGTGCTTTTGTTTGTGAACTAGTCATACTAAAAATAGTTTCAGTTGTAGGAATCTGACTTACCTGTTGACCTCAAATGATATCTGTTCCGAAATAGCCACCCACTAATTAGTGGGTCTGTGCACTATGCTGCGGTAGGCATCTAGTGTGATCTAGTGTAGACAGTGCACAGAGCTGTAGCCTATGAGCGACGAGGAGGACATCGGAGAGGACGACCGCAGGATCTTGCGATCAGCTAGAGGCCCGAGAGCTCACGTGTCCCTAGGACCGGAGGGTGATAGGATTCTGTTCCGCCGGCTTAGGGAGAGACGGCAGGAGCAGAGGAGGGCTAGAGCAGCGCAGGCCAGCAGAACTTCAGTTGGCAAGGCCTTTGCTACAGCAGCCATGGCCACTACAGCCATGTCCACTTCTGTGTAGCAGACTTCCCAAGCCGGTAGTTCAGGTGCCGCCGGGCCAACGGTCGCGCAGACTGTGAGTGCGTCCACTGGCATTATGGCAAGCCAGGCCGCGGTGTTAACTCCAGAGGATGTCGCCATCTATCAGGCAGCCCTGCAGGAGGCACAGCTACAACGGGCATTAGGGGAGATAAAAGGGGAAAAAGAAAAGATGATAAGAAGAAGAGCCAAGATGCAGCGGAGAGGGGCAGACATAGAGGAGTTAGAGACGATGGACCTGACGAACATGGATGATGATGTGAGGGTAGTTAGGAGGGCCCTGCTAGGAGTAATAGAGATGCAGGAGCATCAGGCTACCATCCTTCAAGACATCCAGCAGAGCCTAGCCATACTGGCAGGGCGTCCTCAGACAGCACCATCACCCGTCGGGCCTGGTGCCTGGCCCGTGCCATATCCTCCTTTTTCTGTCCCACCGGTGACAGGGGTATCCCCATATGTAGCCCCGTCATCGGTTGCTATCGTTTCCCTGGGCATGTCGCTGTCAAGAGCAGCAGGGAGTAGTTTGCAGGTTCCTGTACAGACAGTGTTTACTCCAAGTCCGACGCAGGTTGCGGTCACCACGCAGCCTGCTGTCTCGCAGCCTGTGCAGCCTCAGGGCACGCAGCCCCAGCAGCTGGCACAACAACCTGGAGTGATGCAGGGACCGGGACAAACTCAATGGGTTCCGAAGACGGCCATCGTCGCTCCCAAACCTTTTACAGGGGACAAGAGAGGCGAAGACCTCGACACATGGTTGAGGGCAGTGCCGGTCTACGTCAGGTGCAAACTCACCTTGCCGCACGAAGAGGTGCTTGTGGCTGCTTCCTACCTAGAGGGTAGTGCAGCAAGATGGTTGAGCGGTCTAGTGCAACTTCAGGGATATGGTCATGACTTCGGCGCTTGGGCGGCCTCCCAAAAATTGGACTTCCTGAAGATGGTGGAAGAGAGGTGGCATGATCCTCAGGAGGCCCAAAGGGCCACTGACACGATCCTGACACTGCACACGCGGCAATTTAAGTCAGTAAGGGAAGCCACCGACGCTGTTGAGCATCTGATCTGTGTCCCTGGGGTTCGCTATGACCCCCAGGTCCTGTTGACTTCGTACCTGAGATGCTTTTCTCAGCCTGTCAGGAACCAGTTGGCAAAAGAGGCCAACATCAATATGCACAACTTCCCTTCGTTTTGCAAGGTGGCCCTAGACCTTGAAGCTAAGATAGGGCATGGACAAGCACCCACTACGGATGGGAGGAAGAAGACACTGCCTCCTAACTGGAAGGCGAAAGGTCGCTTGATGTTTGTCGACAATGATGGTTCAACCATCGAGGTGGACGGCAACTTCCAGGAGGGAGTAGGTTCAAAGGCAGGCAGCATAGATGCTTCAGAAGGTGGAGTAGTCGCTTTCGTATCTCAAAAAGGTAAGGCGACCGGTAGACGCCGCGGAGGCTCCCGGTCTAGGAGGCAAGTTGACCCCAATGCTCCTCAATGGGAGAAAGCGGGTCTCCTAACTGGAAGGCGAAAGGTCGCTTGATGTTTGTCGACAACGATGGTTCAACCATCGAGGTGGACGGCAAGTTCCAGGAGGGAGTAGGTTCAGAGGCAGGCAGCATAGATGCTTCAGAAGGTGGAGTAGTCGCTGCCGTATCTGAAAAAGGTAAGGCGACCGGTAGACGCCGCGCGGTCTAGGAGTCAAGTTGACCACAATGCTCCTCCATGGGAGAAAGCGGGTCTTACAGAGGACGTGTGGAGAGACCGTTACTCTCGGCGGGCCTGTATTCGTTGTGGTCAATATGGCCACAACCAATTCAAATGCCGCAACAAGAAGGTAACCCAAAAGATCCCGCCTACGATGGGGCAGGTGTTAGGATCTTCTCAACCTGTTGGAAGCAACGATGCCAGTACATCAGGCAGTGCTCCGGGAAACACGTCGGGCCAGTAGGAATTGTAGCTGTTCCTACTAGGGTCGAGGTGGTGGAGACACCCTCACCATCTCGAGAGATGGCCCAAGCTATTGACTCCAGCGTCGTCCCGCAAGCACATTCAGACCCATTGAGCCTCTGTTCGATGAATGTGTTCGAGTCCTTAGAGGAGCTAGAAGTGGAGTGGTCTAGATCAGACCCGCTAGCTTCTTGGACGACACTAGTCAAAGCCCCTAAGGTGAGATGTTCGTCAGCGAGGTAGTCATCGGCGGCCACAAGGCTGGGGCCTATTATGACACTTGCTCGACGAGGAACTTTATTAGTCGCGCGTGCATTGAGAGGCTGCGTTTACAGGGGCAAGTGCAGCGCCTGAGTCGACTTGTGCCAACAAACAGCGCATGGTAGTTAACGACTACCTTCAGGATGTAGAGTGTTGTTTCCCGTACGCGGGAGGGGACTTGAGACATCGTGTCTCGTTCCTGGTAAGTGACGAACTCCCCATGGATATGTTGTTAGGTATGTACTACCTCTCTGTGGCACAGCCCCAGTTTGACTTGGACCGAAAAGTGGTCAAACACACTTTGCCAGGTGGAGGGACCGCCAGATTACACGAGTTCAAAGCTAGTAGTTTGATTGAGTCCTACGGGTGCATGTGTGCGGCCGCGTTCTAAAACTATTATAAGCAAAATCAGGAGGAGGGTATGTACTTGGTTTATGTCTCTGCTGTGGGCGAGCCGATGAAAATGCCACCGGAGATAGAGGGAGTAGTTGCTAAGTACCCTGGTCTATTTGAAGAGCCGACAGGGGTTGTAGAGAGGGAGGTCGTCCACGCGATAGAGATTATCCCAGGGTCTTCCGAAGGGTAGGATCTATCGGATGTCTCCAGGCGAGCTTGACGAGCTTCACCGACAACTCAAGGAACTCGTAGAGAAGGGGTGGAACCGACCGAGTGTCTCTCCTTATGGGTCTCCAGTTTTATTTGTACCTAAGAAGAAGGAGGGTACTCTTAGGATGTGCATTGACTATAGGGGCCTCAATGCCATCACTGTAAAGAATCGAGAGCCCCTACCGCGCATCGATGATCTGTTAGATAGAGTGCAAGGGTGTCGGTACTTCAGTAAGATAGATCTGAAGTCCGGGTACCATCAGATTGCAATCCGACCCGAGGATCAATACAAAACCGCCTTTCAGACGAGGTACGGTCTGTACGAGTTTGTGGTGATGCCTTTCGGCCTTTGCAATGCTCCTGGCACCTTTCAGCACGCTATGAATCGGATATTCCATGACTACTTGGATAAGTATGTCGTCGTGTACCTCGATGACATACTTATTTTTAGTAAAACTGTCGAGGAGCACGTTGCACATTTGGACAAAGTCCTCAGTCTCCTGCGACAACACAAGTTCAAGATCAACGGTGAGAAGTGCGAGTTTGGCCGCACCCGTGTCTTGTACTTGGGTCATGAGATCTCCGCGGAAGGGTTGAAGCCCGATGACGCGAAGGAGGCCAGCATTCGTGATTGGCAACGTCCTCAGCCTGTGACTGAGATGAAATCTTTCTTAGGAATGACTGGCTACTACAGAACTTTCGTTAAGAACTATAGCATAGTGGCCGCTCCTTTGACTGATCTGACCCGCCTTGACACCCCATGGGAGTGGACAGATAAGTGCGAGGCTGCTTTCAGACGTCTGAAGCATGCGTTGACGAACTACGAGGTCTTGAAACTTCCTGATCCTGACAAGCCGTTCATAGTCACCACGGATGCCAGCCAATATGGCATTGGCACCGTGCTCGCGCAGCAGGAGGGGCCAAAGTTGAGGCCAGTCGAGTACATGTAAAAAAAGATGCCGTCTCAGAAGTTGGCAAAGTCCACCTATGAGAAGGAACTCTACGCCGTGTAGAAGGCTCTCACCCATAGGAGACACTATCTCCTTGGGAGATTCTTCATCCTCAGGACTGATCATCAGACCCTGAGATGGATGAGAACTCAGCCCGTACTTTCTGACGCTCTGAAGCGTTGGATCGAAGTCATTGAGCAGTATGACTTCGACCCCCAGTATCTCAAAGGGGAGTACAACAAGGTGGCTGATGCCTTGTCGCGTAGACCTGACTTTTCAGGTGCGCTGATTACTGAGTTCGTCCTCATGGACGATGTAACTCACTCTTTGGTGGATGCCTATCGCGAGGATCAGTTTATGTCGGAGATCATACGCAGACTCGAGGCGAAGGACAATAAGACCTCAGCCGAGTTTGAGTTGGTCAACGGTTTGCTGTTTCTTGAGAAGGCCGGGAATAAACGATTGCGCGTCCCAAGTAGAGAGTCTTTGTGTAGTTTATTTTTAGGAGAATGCCATGATGCCACCGGCCATTTTGGGTATAAGAAGACTGCAGCCAACTTGCTGCAGTGGTTCTGGTGGCCCATGATGTTGCGAGATGCTCAGTTGTATGTGGAGACTTGTCAAGTGTGTCAACGAGACAAGCCACGTACTCAGGCTCCTCTTGGGCTTCTGAAGCCCCTTCCGATTCCGGAACGGCCTGGTGAGAGTCTTTGCATGGATTTCATGGATACTCTGATCACCAGCAAGAGTGGGATGCGGCACATCTTCGTCATCGTGGATAGATTTAGTAAGTATGCTAGGCTAGTAGCCATGCCAGAAACAACAAGAACGGAGTACGTGATCCGAATGTTCAAAGAAAACTGGGTTAGAGACTTTGGTTTACCCAAGTCTATTGTTAGTGACAGGGATGTCAGGTTTACCAGCGAGTTGTGGAAGGCTGCTGCTGCAGAGCAGGGCACTCAGTTGCAAATGACTTCTGGAAATCACCCAGAGGCCAATGGCCAGGGCGTGGGGAGGTGGTGGGTAGGTGCTTCGGCGGGGTCGGTGGGGAGGTGGTGGGTAGGTGCTTCGGCCGTTTCGGTGGGGAGGTCGTGGGTAGGTGCTTCCGCCGGCTCGGTGGGGAAGTGGTGGGTAGGTGCTTCGGTCTGCTCGGTGGGGAGGTGGTGGGGAGGTGCTTCAGCCGGCTCGGTAGGGAGGTGCTTCGGCCGGCTCGGTTGGGAGGTGGTTGCGAGGTGCTTCGACCGGCTCGCTGGGGAGGTGGTGGGTAGTTGCTTCGGCCGGCTCGGTGGGGAGGTGGTGGGTAAGTGCTTCGGCCGACTCGGTGGGGAGGTGGTGGGTAGGTGCTTCGGCCGTTTCGGTGGGGAGGTCGTGGGTAGGTCCTTCCGCCCGCTCGGTGGGGAAGTGGTGGGTAGGTGCTTCGGTCTTCTCGGTGGGGAGGTGCTTTGGCCGGCTCGGTGGGGAGGTGGTGGGTAGGTGCTTCGACCGGCTCAGTGGGGAGACGGTGGGTAGGTGGTTCGGATGGCTCGGTGGGGAGGTGGTGGGGAGGTGCTTCGGCCGGCTCGGTGGGGAGGTGGTGGGGAGGATCTGCGGTCTGCTCGGTGGGGAGCTTCGGCCGGCTCGGTGGGGATGCGGTGGGGAGGTGCTTCGGCTGGCTTGGTGGGGAGGTGGTGGGTAGGTGCTTCGGCCGGTTCGGTGGGAAGGTGGTGGGTAGGTGCTTCG